GAATAAAGACAAAAATATTCTGCATCAAACTAAGTGAGAGAGTCTACACACAGTATACTTTTCCTTCACGCAGTACAAAAAGTAATACAAAAACTACAATTCAAAATGAGAGTCAGACATCAGCCCTGAGCTATTACCAAGATCCATACACCTTTTTAAATATATATTTTATTGATTTTGTACAGAGAGGAAGGGAGAGAGATAGCTAGAAACATTGATGAGAGAGTCATCGACCAGCTGCCTCTTGCACACCCCCTACTGGGGATATGCCCACAACCAAGGTACATGCCCTTGACCGGAATCGAACCTGGGACCTTTCAGTCCCCAAGCCTACGCTCTATCCATTGAGCCAAACCGGTCTCGGCCATACACCTTTTTAAAAAGGTCTCCTGATTGGACCAGCATTTTGCCTTTTCAATTGAAACATAAAAGGGAAACCTTTCTTTTTCCAAGTTTTTTGGAATTTTGGTCTATTAGCTCCTTGTTGGGGGTGATAAAGGAGATGTGAACTGCAAGCCTCCAGCGTGCTTGGGTCTGGGGTGACCCTGTGCATTCCTACAGTGCTTGCGAGAACATTTTGGAACGGTTTGAGGCCTTGCTCTGCTGCATCCAGAGCAAGGTTATAGAAATTTCAGTCATAAAGAGAGAGAGAGAGAGAGAGAGAGAGAGAGAGAGAGAGAGAGAGAGAGAGAGAGAGAGAGATGTGAAATGCCCACTCTCTAAGCAGTATGTCCTGGCCTCTGGACCGATGTAACCAGCATCTGAGGCTGTGAAATAAATGGCCTCAAGGTTCTAGATGAGCCTAATCAAAGCTTTCCATTCATCTCTCAACATGGGAGGTTCCCAGGGAAACTGACATGGTTAGCACTGAGCACTCATCCAGAGCCAGTACTGTTCTATGTGCTAAGGTACTTTAGCTCATCTTATTCAGATAGGGACCAGCATTTCCATTTCACACAGGAGCAAGGAAAGGCAGGGGGAGCAAGGGGCTTATGGGACTGATCTCAGGCGGCGGCGTGATGCCAGTCAGCCCCAGGGAGATCCTGGCTTGCTCGGCAGGTTCCTGAAAGCAGTACTCCAGACTTCTCCCGGGAGGGGGGGAGGCAGAGAGAGCTATTGGTTGTGGAGTGAAACCAGCCTACCTCCCATAAGGCACGCCCACTACATATTAGCTGTGGGCAGCCGGTCCGCTAGTTAGCTGCTAAGCTTCACTTTCTTTGGTTGTAAAACCAGGGCCCCTTGGCAGAGGGAGTAAGACCTGGGTTTTGCAATGAGACCCAGGTTTGATCCTGGCTCAGCAAATCCTGAGTAATCCCATGTCATGCCTCCCACCATGCTAAACCCTCCTAGAAAGGGGCTACTTTGAGCCCAGGGAAGGCGCTTATTGGAAACGTGTCTGCCTGGTCGGGTTGCTGTTAGGATAAGTGTGGTAATGGGCTCTCCCTGGCGCGGGTTTGAATGGAAAAGAGGAGGGACGACATGGGGTACACACAGGCAGCTCAGGTGGTGAAACAGGGCCATGGGTTGCTTCCTCAACCTGCCCCATCCAGCCAAGTCCCTGGTGTCCATGGCTCAGCCGGGCTACTAACGCAGAAAGCATCCCCAAGACCCGTGGGGCCGAACAATCCTGGCTTTGTTTTGAAAGGTTTTTGTCCCTGAGTTTTCTAGCTGGTCTTTATCGGGCTTCCTCTGCTCCAGAGCAGCTAAACTAGCAGATTCAGGTTCTTGGGGAGGGGACAGGTGGGAACCCGGAGCCCCACTAGCGCCCATGTGCCGGGATCTTCTGTGTCCTGTGTTGGGGAAGAGCAGAGCGCAAGCCGAGCGCGCTCGCTGCCCGCCGGCTCCTGGGAAAGGCTGAGCAGAGCAGCTGGGCGAGGTCACGTTGGGCTCATTAAGCCAGCAGGTAGGCAGAGCCTTGGCGGCCACAGGCTGTCCTGGAATGTGCGAGGGGCGTGGTGACAGCCCCTGCCGCTGGCCTCTTTGCGCAACACCTTGGCTATATAACCGGCTGCCCGCGCACCGCACCTGGGTGACTGCCTGGTCCACTGCCTGCACAGGGAGCGCTGGTGAGTACCGCGCCCGGCCAGGGCACTTCCCGCCGCCCCATCTCACCCTGGAGAGAGCACCTTAAACTCCTGAATTCTTTTAGCTATCCCTCCCTGCAAGACCTCAAGGAACTTTGCTGGCTTTGGGCTGAGGAAGAGGGGGGATAAATGATAAGCTTCCAATTTTTCAGATTTCTTTCTCAGCTCCTGAGTATACTCCTGCTAACTGGTAGTTATGAATGAGCCACACGTGGGGAGTTTTAAAATAGTAGATGTATTGGGGCTCCTGGTTTTGGGGAGGAAAAGGGGGTGGGGAATGAAAGTATTACGCTGCATCAGGAGGGCTAGGCGTTCTGTGTAGTCACTGATTCTCTGTGTGACCCAAGGCAGGTCTATCAGTCACTGGGCCTCTGTGTCCCCTTCTTTATAAGAAAAGGCATCTGAGATTTGAGCTGAAATTGTAGGTCTGTGTGGTTGTCCAATGCTGCACGCCCCCTCCCTGCACCCCCCCACCCTCACCCCCAAACACGACTTCCACTGCTAAGCTGTTGTTTTTTTAAGTGTCTGCTAGGTATAGTGCAAACTTGTTCATGGGGCAGGTGGCCAGAATCAGGAGAGGGCTGGCCTGTCCTTCATCTTGTCTTGGGAAAACAGAGCCCACAATTTTTCAATGTTTTGAAGGTGTCGGGCCAGATAACCAGGGAAATGGCTAACCAGGAGATAGGTGTGCACGGGTGCAGCTTAGGGTGCAGGGGATGAACGGGGGAGAAACCCAGGCTCTCCAGGCCAGAAAGAGGGCGGCCGGTGGACTGGCATTAATTCAGTCTTCAGATTCCCTGGGGGATGCCTGCCTGGGTCACTGGCACTCAGGTGAACAGAGTTGAACCTCTCCTGCTCCTTAGCAAGGAGGCAGCTTGTCTGTTTCATCACGTAGAGTCTTCTTCCCGCCCGCACTACTACTCCCTCCCCCCGTGTGTTGGGTTTGTTAGCCCTCCTGTGCTGGAGTTCATTGGCTGCTCTTTGTTGGGAAGTCTTGCAAAGTTGTGTGCCTCCTAGGAGACCGTTGTTTCAGAGTGCTAAACATGCTTGAATCTCTTGGTTTGTGCCAGCCAACCAGCTGATAATGATCTGCTGGCAAGAAGGGCATGCTTCCAAAATCCACCCCAAATCACTCAACCACTCATTAAAAAAGTCCCCAGTGGTGGGAAAACCTGGGGTTATTACTGTTAGATAAAAAGTTGACAAAAATAGCCCGAGTTCAACTTAAGAAAAAAGGCAGCCATCTTCCACCCCACCTTCCTCACCCTCCTCCTCCCATCCCAACCCACCCCCACCCTTGGGACAGAATGGCTGTATCAGCAGGGAGCAAGCAGACTGTCCCAGTGAGTTAAGTCATCCCAACGGACTTCAAACACGCAGAAGAGTTCAAAAAAGAGGGCTGCAAAATGATTGAAATGTGTTTTTAAATGTTTATTATTATAAATTAGCTCTTTAACCCCTCCCCAATGTGATGCAAAATAATTGATATAGTTATTATTACAAGGATTTATTTAAAATGCTCTAAATCCAAATTTCAGGTACACTGGGAGGGTGGTATGGTCATGGGCCCTACTTCAAAGAGAGGGCAAATGTCTTTAAAAATCCTCTTAGTGCATATTAAAAGTCTAAAGTTATTCAACAACATAAAACCAGGCCAATTCCTTCCCTGCCACCTGCCCCACACCCCTCCCTCCTACCACTACCGGGTCCTTGGGGGTTATTTTGCCTTGTGGTGGCTAAAGGAAGCTAAAGAAAAGTAGCCACCACTCTCTTGGGAATTTTTGAAGTCTTGATCATTTTTTCAAAGTATAAGAATATAAGTCCCTTGCAGTGCGGGGAAGATGCACGAGGTTAACTTGGGTACAAGGCTTGCAGCAGAGCCTGGCACAGTGCACTCAGCAAGCAGCTTACTAAGTGCCCTGCGTGCTGGGCTGCAGAGCTCATTCTCCCTGTGCTTGGGGCCGCCGCCCAGGGGGAGAAGGTGTGGGTATCTTGGTCTGTCTGCAGGGCGCTGCCTCATGCCTCCTCTCCCCACCTTTTCAGATGTCCTTGGGCTGAGTACAGGCAGCCCCAGAGCAGGTCCGGGTTGGAAAGACCCAAACAAAGCAGAGTGTAGGGGTTGGGTGACTGCCAGGTGCCCTACATTGCCCAGTTACCCAGGTCTGAGAAAAGCCAGGAAGTTTCCTCTCCTTAGCCTGCAAGACTTCCTCTTGGTATGGGGAGCACGGGTAGATGCAGGAAGGTGAGCCAAAAGGACTATCAACACAGCCAGATGGGCTGTAGGGACTAGTGGTGTGAAGTAAAGGAGTGGTAATGTGATAAACCCTAGCCTCATGCTCAGCCATCAAAAGCACCTTTCCGGGTATCAGAACTGCCGACGTAGATGCCTTCATTCTTCTCGGCCCCTGTGGCAGGTAGCGCGAGCATGCTCTAGGATTTAAACCTGGTCCAATGTGTCTTGCTTATTGCAGAAGACCTGATGGTTGGTAAAAGCAGGTGAAATGTATATGAGCATATATGTTAGTCCACTGGGGGCACCTTGGAGGGTCGTGAGGACTTGGCAGATGGAGATTCAATGAAGATGGATGAGTTTGCATCCTCTTTCTGACTGAAGGGGACAGTCAAGACTGAGGACATGACAGGGCATAGGGAAATTAAAGATGGGTAGATTGAAGTGGAGATTTGAGGCTGACATGGAAGAAGCACAGGGTAAGAAGTGTTTGAAGGAAGCCTGCAGAGGAGTGTAATATGGTGCCGAAGAGCCCACACTTAGAGGTGTAAGCACAACACTCATCCACTCGCCCAAATCTTGCAGCTGCTAGCTCTCCCTGCCATGACATCTTAGTGGCCTCCTTTCAGTGGCTGCTCCTTTAAGCTCTGCTTCCTCCCTCCCTCTCCCCCCCCCCCCCCCAGACCATGGCTCCTTGGCCTGAGGTGGAAAACGCCCAGCCCAACCCAGGTAAATACATCGGAGGCATCACAGATGGCCAACAGCCCCCCACAGATGGAAAAGAAAAGGAGCCCAACAAAAGTAAGTGCCGCTCATCCAGCCCCAAGAGGCCTCCTGTGGGCACCCCAAGAAAACGCTGGACTGATTCCCCCACCTTTCTCCTTGACCTTTGTTGTTTGGCCAGATGTTGCAGGGACCGCTGACACAAAGGTTGAACTTCAGCCATACCACTCCACCGCCACCCTGATAGAGGAGCACCCTGGCGTTGAAGACCCCTGGGACCTGCCCGAGCTTCAGCCCAAGGGGATCAGGTGGTCGGGTAAGTGGTCAAGAGATAGGCAAGGGAGTGAGCTCATCACCAGGACAGCATCGCCTCTCTTCCCACTGTCCTGATGCCCTTCAAACAAAGAGCGAGGCCAGGGTTGTCACCCGACAGTCTAGGAAGCATGGAGTGAAAGCATGGAGCGATGGTTAGGGAACCCTTTGTACTTTAGTTCATTTGGCCATTTGCTGAGGTTATAACCAGGATGGACACCAGTGCTGCTCCTTAATTACCTGTTGTGTGCTGACCAGCTCCTGGGTACTGTCATGGTGCTGTGGCTGCAGCAGTGAGCAGTTAGGTCCCTGCTCTGAAAGCTGGATGGGGGGGGGGGGGTCCCCTTTCCTAAATGCAAGCATCAGAGCAGTCTTCTAGAAGACAGAGGTAGTATAGCCAGCATAGCCAGGCAAGCAAATGTTGCACTGTTTTCCTAGTTCTGGGTGTAAGGTGATGTGTGGCTCACAGGACTGGGAGGGATCGAGGTTGGGCGGGGGGGTGCAAACCACTTTAAGAGAGGAGAAAATAGCCATTAAGGGCATAGCATTTCCCCAGCACACTCCCCAAATGGAGGCGGTGATTGCTACCTTGCAGCCACAGCCTAGAAAATAGTCTGTGTTGTTCAGAGGAGCTTAGGAGAGCCATTATCTCTGACCCCACACTTAGCGGGTGGTGAGTGCTCTTCACCGCCTCGTTCAGTGACACGGGCTCAGCTGAGCATGGAGCCTGCTTTGCTTGTCCCAGACTACACGGAAACCCTCCTCGCCAGTGCTCATCCCATGGAGACACTTCAGGGGTTTCAACTAAGTGGGCGATAGTGGTAATTTCTCTGAAACTGCAGCCACAGCTGCCCACCATCTCTGGGCCTAGCTGTCCATAAGTGCTCACAGGCCCTTGGCTAGGGGAGGGGGGGGGGGTAGAAGGTTCAGAGTTCATTGCCAAACTCAAGGTTTCAGATACTGAAAGTCTTTGTGCTTTTTCCCTCCCCCAGAAAGAGACACCAAAGGGAAGATTCTGTGTTCCCTGAGACAGATCGGGAGGCTCGTTCTGCTCCTGGCGTTCCTCTACCTGTTCGTGTGCTCCTTGGATATCCTCAGCAGTGCCTTCCAGCTGCTTGGAGGTATGGATGGAAGGGTTGGAGGGCTGGGGTAGGGGTGCTTTCATTTGGTTCAGATCCTCACAAGGCATCAAGCCCGCTCCAGCTGCATTTTAGGGCTGGGGATCACCTCAGCTCATCTCCCATTTTACAGAGGAGAAAGCCAAGGCCTCCAGAAATCTGGCTAGCTTAGGAGGCTAAGGCCAGGAGCCAGGGCTGGAGCCAGTTCCAGGCACCCAATGCCTTGTGTTTGTGCACAAACCTTAGACAGGAAGCTGTTTGACATAGATTTATCTAAGGGATCTCTTTTTTTTTTTTTCCCTTGGTGACCCCCATCTGAGGGGAGTATTGGATAAGAATCATCTTAGGCCAAAGCAACTAAGGGAATCAAAGCTGGACTTTTGCTGGAGAAGGACAGGGTCCCCAGACTGGGAGAACCTTCATCCAGCATTGAGCATGGCCCTGTGTGGCTGTGAAGTGTGAAATCACCACGGGTTTGGTATCCTTTGTACCCAAAATGGGCAACGACACTGACAGCTAGCACTTTGAATCCCTCCTGAGTCCAGGCATTTTCAGGGGGGATTGTCTTGAACATTCCTTCCCAAGCCCTTCCTATTTATAGAGGGGAGGGGCCAGGCTCAAAGAGGTCCTAAGGCTCACAGACTGTAATTGGCATAACAGCATTCATAACAGCGTTCTGGGTGACACCTGACACGTGGATTTTTGCACTCCTTGGTGCTTCTCTTGAGAACTCATCTTTGTGTCCTGGGAGAATTGGGGTAAAGTGACTTACTAATTTTCTGGATGCCACTGCTGGTCCCCCTGGTCCAAAGCAATAGCGGGGAGAGGCTTTGTTGTCAATATCCCAAGACAATTCACCTCCACGTTCTGGGCTTCAGTCTTCTTTAAAAAATGGATTGGTGGTCTCAGAGGCACACACAGAAATGACACCTTCAGCATTCAATTACGGGCTGGGGCTAGGGCTAGGGCTTGGGGGAGGGAGAGTGGAAAGAGGAGAAGATCCCCTCTTGGAGGACAAATCTTATGAATTGAGAATACATCCCGGAGATAGGAATTGAGACAGGAAATTCACTGACACCCATAGGGCCAAGTACAGAATTGAGACCAGAAGGCTAGTGGTTGAAGGGAGGGTGCAGGATGGAGCCACAAGAGGAACAGGGTCTGGGGGTGAGTGGGGCATGTCTCCTGGCATCAAGGCAGTGCAGGGGAAATGTGTGAGGGAGCAAGCTGCCACAGGTGCCAGTAGGGCTGGAGGCAGAGATCCACAACCCACAGCCAATGTTGGCCACTTGGTGCCCACCTAACCCCCTATCATGTGGCCATGATTTGTTTTGTTTTTCCAGGAAAAATGGCCGGGAAGATCTTCAGCAACAACTCTATAATATCCAACCCCCTGGCGGGTCTGATGATCGGTGTGCTGGTGACCGCTTTGGTGCAAAGCTCGAGCACCTCCACATCCATCATCGTCAGCATGGTGGCCTCCTCACGTGAGTACCCATGAACCTAGATGTATTCCAGGCATTTCCCTAGCATGTGTCCCAGCTTGTCACCTTAATTTCCCCATTGTGTCCTACTATGATGTGTTCGCCTGAACCTCAGGCAGCCTCCTGTTTCTATTTTCACAGCCCAGACTGAGAATAGACCCTGAATTATCTGGAGCTATGCTGTCTGGTCCGGCAGACACTTGTGATATGTGGCTATTTAATTTCATTTAATCTTAATTGATTTTAATTGAAAATAGATAGCCCGGCTGCTCAGTTGCACTAGCTATATTTTAAGGGGTCAGTAGTCATCTGTGGCTAGCAGCTGCCATTCTAAACTTGAACTTGACTGACAGTGGAGCCAGATTCCCTGAGTGAGACAAGTGTGAAACCATGAATTTTCAACCCAAACCAGCATGTTAGCCAACATTAACTAGAGCCTTTTCTGGGCCCAGTTAGAAAAAGATATTATTTCTTTAAAATAAGTCTGTGCCAGAACATTGAGGCACTATATTAATCTTGTTTAGAAAAAGGAATTTGCCATGCTTGTTATTTGTTTTCTAGTCTCCTTGAAGATGGCCTTGCATATGAGTAAAATGAGAAGACACTTTAAAGCTCAGGAAGGAGCTGTGGATTCTTGGGGGATCTGTGGATTCCCTGGAATTATGTGCTAAGAAATATTTTTGATCCATGTTAGTATTTCTACATGAGTTGCCCTAGCTTTTATCAGATTCTTTGCAAGGTGCATACAGGGAAAGAGCTGCAGTTCTAGGCAGCGACTAACCTGATGGGTTCAGCCTGCCCCGGGCACACCAGGAACCTGGCCAGGCTGCCTACCTACCCTCGCTGCCCTGCTGACTTCCTGTTTTCTACCCAGTGCTGTCAGTGCGGACTGCCATCCCCTATGTCATGGGAGCCAACATTGGAACTTCGATCACCAACACCCTCGTGGCGCTCATGCAAGTGGGAGACCGGAATGTGTTCCGAAGGTAGGAGGCTCAGAACCAGCCCTTGTCACCCACAGGCCCTTCAGTGTTGGTTGGCCAGCTTGTCATAGCTACTTTTAGATCACCACTGAGAACGTGCTTGTCAGTCCTGGGTCGCTTATTCCTGGCCATGACGGAGTGCAGCCGAGGGTAGGGCTCATGAATGGAAACAGCCCCCTGATCTGCACAGGGGGGATAGGGATGGCACCATCACTGTGGTGTGTCTAAAGGAGTAAACACAGCCATACAGGTTAACACTTAGCAAGGTGCCTGGCACAGAGGCAGGGTTCCCTAAATACCCACGCTGGAAGCTTACTTGCAACATGGTGCAGTGAAGACAAGGCCAGCGAGGCGGTGGTTTCCTGTCCTGCTTAATCAGAAATAATTATAACCCGAAGCTTTCATTCTTGGCCAGCTCAACCCATTCCACTTTTTCTTTGTTCTTCCCTCGCCTGCTACTGAAAGGCAAAACGTAGCTTTTATAGGATGTGGCTGTGTGAGATATGAAATGGGGCGGGCTGGAACCAGGCAAAGGGAACCCTGGTCTTCCAAAAGTTTAATGTAAAAAGTAAGCACATTTCCTGGCCTCTCTTCTAACAGATAACAGCTTCTTTAAAAAAAAAAAAAAATGGAGAGGCAGTTTTCAGCTTACCTGTATGATGCTTGTGCTGTGGGTTAGGCAGATGGCCTTGGGCAGGCTGGTTGAGTGGTTGAGGGCAGTAGTAGTAGTAGATGAAACACTACCAGGGTGTTTTTTTGCTAATCTGATCTTCTCAAGGAGCCAAGTGGGCGTTCCTATGCCCCATCTTATTAATGTAGCGATGCAAAAAGGCTAAGTAACTTTGCTGAGGGGCATGGCTGGGATTCAAGGTTTTCTTATCCAGATTTTTGGCCTCTGGATGACCCATGACACATAAACATAAGCATGTGATCTATGACAGTGTCTGCTCATAGGAATGTGGTTGACTTTGCTCACCCCTGTGGGAGATATTTCTTATTTTAAAAAAAATATATATTTTATTGATTTTTTACAGAGAGGAAGAGAGAGAGATAGAGAGCTAGAAACATCGATGAGAGAGAAACATCGACCAGCTGCCTCCTGCACACCCTGCAGCGGGGATGTGCCCACAACCAATGTACATGCCCTTGACCGGAATCGAACCCACGACCCTTCAGTCCGCAGACCAACGCTTTACCTGTGGGAGATATTTCAATAGGTTGACCTTCCTAGACTGGTACCAACTTGCTCATTGACTAATCTGGCTGTTGGCTCGGGGTTTCCTTCTGTAGGGCTTTTGCAGGGGCCACCATCCACGACTTCTTCAACTGGCTCTCCGTGCTGGTGCTTCTGCCCGTGGAGGTCTCCACCCATTACCTGGAGGCCCTGACCAACCTCATGGTGGACGTCTTCAATTTCAGAAGTGGAGAAGATGCCCCGGAACTTCTTAGAGTTATCACGAAACCCCTTACAAATTTCATTATCCGGGTAAGGGCCAAGTGCCAACTCCCTCCCCCTTGCCTTTCGCCCCACTCAGCCTGGGATGGACAGGAAGGAGTCTCTGAACACTGCTATATGGCTGCCTCTGAAAGTAGCCACGAAATTGGGGAAACACTAGGGAGAGTAACGGACCTTTCTTGTTTCCTTGACCTCCACATGTGTGTCATGCTGGAGGGTGGAGGGAGAGGGGAGTCTTCTCAAAGCTCAAGTACTCCCCACTGGATACCTGGGGCCACTTTGGTCTCACTACTGACCTAAGCACCAGTGGGATCACTGGAAAAGTATTATCCTACTTCTAGCCAAAAAGAAAGGCTACTGCCCTTCCCATCCATCTTCCCCTCTAGTCACCAGAGTCTGTCCATATTATTAAAATGAAAGAAGGCTTTGTGAATGTTGCCTTTGGAGAAGGGGCAAGCTTAGACCTTGCCCTCTCACTCTCACTTCTGGTTTTCTCTTCCATCTGTCACCCATTGAATACATACACACTTTCTAGGTACCAGTTCATTATTCACATCTTCACTCATTTATAAAGCACTTGCTGATGTCTAGATGCTTAGAGGGTGAGTCCCAGCTCACCTCTACAGGGCCTCACTGTCTGTTCACCTCCTCTGAGGCCCTGTTTGCAGCAGCCCTTGCGAGTCCCTCCCATGTTTGGGCTGAGCATGTGCTGACTCTCTTCTGTTTATTGCCTTCCTCAGCTGGATAAAAAGGTTATCAACCAGATTGCATTGAATGACCCAACAGCTATGAACAAGAGTCTGATCAAGATTTGGTGCAAAACTTTGACCAATGTGGTAAGTTTCTAAGAATATTGATGTGTGGGTGGACTCTTTCATTTGTATTTTTAAGCAAGTTCTTTCATTCCAAGTGGGAAAATAAAAGATCAGGCAAAAGAAAATATGGGATTCCTGAAAAATCAAAATTGGCCCGTGAGAGTCCATAAGGAAATAAGTCCTTGCATGCTGGAAGGATAGACAAAATGCAGTAGAATGTAAAGAACCTTTTGCCCCATTCCACAACACAGATATATTATCTTCACTTGGCATTTTCATGTCCCTCTACTTTCTGGCTGCTTCTGTCTCCATTCTCCCCACTAATGGTCTCCCCATTCTCTTCACTAAAATTGAGTGTTATGTTTGCCATCTAGACTCAGGTGAATGTCACCGTCCCCTCAATTCAGAACTGCACCTCACGCAACCTCTGTTGGACAGATGGTATCTCCACCTGGACCATCAAGAATGTCACCAGCAAGGAGAATATTGCCAAGTGTGAGTAGAACTCAGAGCATCAGCCATTGGGACAGGCTGTCTGGGGTGCTGGTGGTGAACAACCAAGATTATGTCGCTATAAGACAGAAGGAGTAAAGCTAGGGCCTAAATAACAATCTGTGGCTTGGGGGACTCTTCTAATAAGGACTTACCCTGGTTTCTTCAGGCCAGCACCTCTTTGTGAATGCCAACCTCATGGATGTTGCTGTTGGCATCATCCTTCTGGTTATCTCCGCGCTGATGCTGTGTGGCTGTTTGATCATGATCGTCAGGCTCCTGGCTTCTGTGCTTAAGGGACAAGTAGCCATTGTCATCAAAAAGACCATCAATACTGGTAGGTGAACTCTCCCCCATTTGGGGCTTTCTAGGTGTGGCATCACTGTTGCCACCTCAGGGAAGCTCCTTTAGATTCTTATCTAGCAGTGGCCTCTGCATGGATTTTATCTTTGGATTTGAAAAGCTGCAGAAACTAAGACACCCTTGGCCCTTAAAATCTTTCTTGATGTCTTGGGTGGGACTTGGGGAGCAAGAACAAACTTGGATCTCATGTTTGCAAGGTCCTGAAAAAGCTAGCTCAAATCCAGAACTGTGAAACCAGCCTTCCCACAGGTTTCCTACCCTAGCACGTGCGCCCACTCTGTTCCTGTGGAGATGCCACCTCCCTTCCCTCCCCCAGGCCTCTATCCCATACCTTCCTAGAAGGCTTGTGACAGATCACTTTTCCTTCTGTCTTCCAGATTTCCCTTTCCCCTTTTCCTGGCTGACTGGCTACCTGGCTATCTTAGTGGGGGCAGGAATGACCTTCATCGTGCAGAGCAGCTCAGTGTTCACATCTACTTTGACCCCACTGATCGGTGAGTTTCTCTCTGGCTTCTCCCTCTGGCACCGTTACCATCTCCTGTCATCCTCTGGAACTGATGTGATGGACTTTGTATTTCCCCCCAGGTGTCGGAGTGATAAGTATTGAGAGGGCGTATCCACTCACACTGGGGGCCAACATCGGCACCACCACCACTGCTATCATGGCCGCCTTGGCCAGTCCAGGCAAGACCTTGAAATCCGCACTCCAGGTCAGGAAATGCTGTGGGAGAGGGGTTCTATGGGTGGGATGCAAGGATATCTGTGGTCTTGCAAGCAGATGGTTTCTAACAAGAACCTGCTTCTCCTAAGTCTAAAATGGTAATGTGCAGGAGAAGCCATCTACTCATTTGAGAGGCCGTGAGACTCCTGTCACTGGCAGTTGATTAAACAAAAGTGGGATGGCCACGTGATAGAGACAGAAAGAGTATTTTGGAATCATAGGCATTATCAAGATCTGAGATTCTGGCTAAAGCCATGATGTCCAATAGAAATATAAAGTGCATGTAGAATACAAATTCAAGTCACCCATGTAATTTGAAATTTTTAGTAGCTACATTTAAAAAGTGGAAAAACAAAACAAAACCCAGGAAGATCAATTTTAATGATGTATTTATTTAACCCATTACCAATTCAACATGTAATCATTATTTTTAAAGGTAATATTTTACATTCTCTTTTGGACTAAGTCTTCCACATTTCAAGCGCTCAGTTGCCACACGTGTCTACTCTATTAGCCAGGGCTGGTTCAAGTCCCTAGCATGATGGCTGGCACCTTGTGGGAGGACATTGGACAGTGATTGGCCTCTGAAGTCAGGCTTCCTGGGTTTGAAACCCATCTCTACCTTCTCTCATCTGTTTGACTTTGGAAAAATAAGCTTAATCCCAAGGTGCCTCCATTATTGCTAATATCACCTGGGGACAATACTGATAGCCACCTCATAGGATATTGTTTGAGGATTGAAGGAATCCACACAACGTGCTTGGGACAGCTGATTCGCTCCTAGTAAACATTATAAACATCAGCTGCTGATGCTGCTAACTGTCCCCATTCCTCCTTTCCTCCCCTCTCTCTGGAATGAGGCTTTGAGCCAAGGAAACCAGCTATCCTGCAAGCCTTGCCCTCTGCCCCTCCAGCTCTTAACTGCCCAGCTGGAAACTGCAGGGCCAATGCACAGGCTAGCAGTGGGCACATGCATGAGGTGCATTGTTAGTTTGCCTAAAGGACTTCAGTTTCTGAAAACTGTGCTGTAATTAAACTAGTCAACCTTCCCCTCCACTCCCCCCCACCCCTACACACACATACCCCTCCCCTCAACCTGACATATGGCAGGCCCTCAGGCAATACAGGCCCCTTGACTCTACTACCTCAGCCAGCTTGGTGACACCCCTTTACCCCCCAACCCCTCCCCAACTACCACCATGTGACAGACCATTCACCTGTTCAACCTCTTGTATTTCAGATCGCCCTGTGCCACTTTTTCTTCAATATCACGGGTATCCTTCTGTGGTACCCAATCCCGTACACTCGCCTGCCCATCCGCCTGGCCAAGGGACTGGGCAACATCTCAGCTAAGTACCGCTGGTTTGCAGTCTTCTACCTGGTCACCTTATTCTTCCTGTTCCCGCTGGCCGTGTTTGGCCTCTCGCTGGCTGGCTGGCCAGTGCTGGTGGGCGTGGGGGTGCCCATCGTCCTCGTGATCCTTCTGGTGCTGGTGCTCAAGCTCCTGCAGGCCAGCTGCCCCCGCATCCTGCCCAAGGTGTTCCAGACCTGGAGCTTCCTGCCCATGTGCATGCGCTCGCTGAAGCCCTGGGACGTCGCCATCTCCCTGGCCACCGGCTGCTGCATGAGGAACTGCTGCTGCTGCTGCCGCATCTGCTGCCGCTTCTGCTGCTCGCTCTGCTGCCCCAGGTGCTGCCGCTGCAGCAAGTGCTGCCGGGAGCCCACAGAGGAGGAGGAGGTAACCCAAATCAAGGTCCCCGAGTCCTTTCGTACCATCTCTGTGGTCGTGGAGGCCCCGGAAGGGGTCCCCAAGTCCCCAGAGGAACCCAAATCCCAAGAGGACACTCTGAACACAAACACCACCTCCAGCCTCACAGCATTGTAGGGGCTGTCCTTAGGCAGGAGGAGGGGCCCCAAGTCTCCCTGGCTCCCTCCTTGGTTCTGCAATGCCATTCTCCACTTTGCTAAGAAATGGCATCAACATCAGCTCTGACTCTCGTTCCCCTTTGCGCATGTGTCAGCCTGCCTGGTCACTCTGGCTCCACCCCTTCTCCCTGGGTCTCCCACTCCCAGGAAGGCGCAGAAAGAATTAGACAATGACACCTGGCTAGATAACGATCCCCTCCACCCACCCACTCCTGATGGGCCGGCCAATGGGACTTATTCTCAGACATAACCATCTTCTGAAGTCCCAAGAGAGGAATTTATGGAAGGTTCTCAAAGATGCACACACCTAGGCATCTAAGAAAATTATTGTGATAAAATTCTCCTTCACCAAAGCCTGGCTGCAACCTAGAGCAGCTGCTGCCCAGGCGTCCTCACCCCAGAGCAGGCCAGTTCAGGGCAAGAGGCCTTGGAAGACACAGGCATGGGCCTTGCTCTCTTCCCAGTGCCACCCAAGACCTCTCCCCTGGGCAGGTCTGGCTAGTCCAAGCATTTTTACCTGCTGAGTCTTTGAGTTTCCAGGAGTCAGGATGCACTTTGACCCACCTGTTGCCTCTTGAGATCAGGTGTCAGCAGGGTCCGTGTGTGTGTGTGTGTGTGTGTGTGTGTGTGTGTGTGTGTGTGTCTGTGGGTCCAAGGGGTGTGCTCCTTCTTGCCCCACATGCCCTCTGTGCCTTCTAGAGCTCCAGCTGTATTTACCCCTTTGCCCTCCTCATCCCTCACCTCTAGTTCTCCCTGGAGAGGAAGCTTCAGCTGGGTCTGGGGAGGGGGAGCTATGAGCTATGCCACAGCGCATCCGTCATGACAGGCCGGGACACCAAACCGAGCCCTCCCCTGGCCTTCCCCCATGTAGATACCAATTCCCTTACTAACAGCCATTTCTACGCCATATTTATAGCCGTGCACCTGTACAGCGTTTTTATAAGTTATGTAGTAATAGTAGCGGGACTTGTTTGGGGCTCTCATTTGGAAATGTCAAGGGAAACAAGACCCTCTGTATTTTGTAATGCTGGCTTTTCAACACGCCTCTGTTAGCCCTGCCCATGCCTCCCTGTAAATACAAAACTGCGGCCCTCTTTGTACTCTACAAATTGGATCCTTGTACCTTTATTGATTGTATTTTTTTAACTGGTTGTGTGAAGGGAAAAATAAAGATGATCAAACCCCCAAAGAGTGTATTGCTTTCAATTACGGGGAAATAAGTTCCTACTTGAACTGTTTACTACACGTGTGAGGCCATTTTCCCCTCAAATGTTACTACTCACCCCCAGGGCCAGCTACATAATTTGTTGGTCCCCTTGGTCAAAAGGCAGAAGTAAAGTGCCATTACGGGCATGACAGGTAGAAAGCTGTCCTTTCCTCCAACCTCTCCATGGCCTTTTTTTTTTTTTTTTCCCTTCAATCCCTCCAGCAGCTCCCCCATCAGCTGTCAGCCTGCTCTATTTTGTTTTTTCAGTTCGCTCATTAATTCCACATATGTGTGAAGTCATGTGGTACTTGTCTCTCTGACGGCTTATTTCACTTACCGTAATGCTCAACAGGCTCCTCTGAGGTCTCTCTTGGCCTAGCCCTTTTATTTACTTTTTCTAGTTTTTTGACTTTAAAAGTTTGTTATGAGTTGAAAAATGCCTAGCTTAGCCTCGCCTACCTTAAACATGCTCAACACAATTTCCATAAAACTCGGCAACACACTAAGTATACTGTGGAGGGTTGGTTACCCTCATGATCGTGTGACTGACAGAGCTGTAGCTCCCTGCATCTGGCCAGCTCCTACATGAGATCCAAACTCAAGAGTTCCACGTCTGGTTTCTATTGAAGGCATACTGCTTCCGCACAACCATAAGTCAAAAAACCACAAGCCACACCATTGTAACTCGTTGAGCATCTTTAAGACTATTCTTTATAGCCGAAACCGGTTTGGCTCAGTGGTAGAGCCTCGGTCTGCGGACTGAGGGGTCCCGGGTTCGATTCCGGTCAGGGGCATGTATGTTGGTTGCGGGCACATCCCCAGTAGGGGGTGTGCAAGAGGCAGCTGGTCGATGTTTCTCTCTCATTGACGTTTCTGGCTCTCTATCTCTCTCCCTTCCTCTCTGTAAAAAATCAATAAAATATATATTTTTTTAAAAAAGACTATTCTTTATAAAATTTACATATTAGCATGGATTTTTCTGTTTGTGTTGTGTGAGGCCAGTTTTACATGCAGACTTGATAAAATCACCTTGCTTGTACTTCATTGCTACCGGAGCAGCAGGGACATTGCACAGAACTCAGTTGTTTGATTTCATCCCCTGGTGCGTGCACATTGTATGGATATTTGACCTCACTGAGGAGTAAGAAAGAACGGTGAAGAACTACGGCTGCCTTTGCTTCAACATCCTCACTTTCAGCCCAGGCAGGTGACTAATGCACAAAAGTAAAGAAGAGGGAGGGAAGATGTGGTAGGGCTTCTGTGTTCTTTTGTTTTCTGCAAAGACAGGTCTGGTTTGAATGGAAAGCATGGCCGCAGGGCTGTCAGCATACTCAGTTGCAGACCTTGTACTTGAGTCCTGCTGTCTTCCCACTTATGTGAGTCTCCAGGAATTCTGTCCTCCGGCATTTCAAATGTCCTGCTTTCTCCTCAGCTCTCCTCCCTGGTGCTCAGCCTCTCAGATCTCAGCCTCCTTTCAATTTCTCCTTTCCTCAGCACTAGGGATCTTTAAACACTCTATCCTCGGTGTCCAGGGAGGAAGCCCCAAATCTGCGAACATCCTAGCAAGCCAAGGCAGCACACCTACCCTTTCCTGTGAAGAATAATGGACTCTTTTTTCAAAACTGCAGGTGGCCAGGCAGGCCTGGGAATAAGCATTGAGGAGGGTTTTCACCACGAAAAATCCCCTCCACCCCCCTCTCCCCAGGATGACTTTTGTGAGGCACTTGTTCCAGAATATTCTCAGCTGTGGAGCTCCAGGCTCCTCCCAGAGACTGCATTTCAGTAGCTTGAGGGCCAGAACCTGAATTTTTAAAATATGCTTTTATTGATTTCAGAGAGACAGAGAGAGGGGGAGAGAGAGATAGAAACATCAACAATGAGAGTGAATCATTGACCAGTTGCCTCCACGCCCCCCACTGGGGATTAAGCCCACAACCTGGACATGTGCCCTGATGGGGAATTGAATGGTGACCGCTTGGTTCATGGGTCGATGCTCAACCACTGAGCAATACCAACTGGGCAGGAATCTGCATTTTTTAAGAATAATGCATAGCAACCACAATTCTGATGCAGGTGATCACTAACTCATGTTTATAAGAACTCTGCCATGGGAAAGAGCAAATATTAAGCCTCTCTCCCTTCCTCCTCCTCCTCTTCTCTCCTCCTCCCTAGCCTTTCATTCTACTTATCCTCCATATTCTACACTCTCGCAAAAATGTTATCCTTTCTGGGTGGTAAGAAATATTTATAGAAATTTTATATGTATGATCATATATATATATATAACTAAAACTAAAATGGCAAAGTGAGAGGCAGCAAGCATTTGTTGAGCTGTGCAGGAGCTGTTGGGGAAGTTGTGATTCAGGCAGAAAGCCAATGTTCTGATCTAGAGATGAAGGCAGGCGTTGTTTAGGAGAAAGGGGAGGGAGACAACTACAGGAACAGAAGGAAGGAATTTCCACTGCTAAGAAGCTAAGGAAGGGCTTTCTATGGGTGCAGATAAGATAACATAGTGATGCCCATTCTCAAGGACACCTCTGTCACTCCCATATTTATAACAGCAGCTGTTTGGAATGTAGTGCTGTTTTAGCCCTGTCCACAGGTCCTTTCGGCTAAGGGTTTGAGGAGTTAGCTGTGCAAGGCTATTCCTCGGGGATGGCAGCTCTGGCTCCATTTTGAAGTGGCTCCATTTATATTATGATTTACATGTATATGAATCTACTCTCCTCCCAATATTTTGACCATGACTTATATTATTTTGTCACTAGTAAAAAAAAAAAAAAAAAGTAATGAAGGAAAACACTAACAAACTGGAATGACCCCTTCCCCCAGGAAGTATGTCAGTTGGGGGACTGGATTTGCCTCGAGTCTTTCCCTGCTCAAGAAGGAGGCTTCTTCTCCTACTGTCTTATCATATATTCATAACCCACCCTTCAACTGACTGTCCTTTGCTAGGCCCTGGGAGCTTTCCACCCCTGGTCTTCTGTACCTGATTGTAAACTGCTCAGCTAGATTGTCCAGAAATCTGGCTCAGTTTTCTTATTCCATTCCCAAGGAATGTTCCTAGCTTCTACCCTTCCTCAAAGGCAAGACTGACCTTCATCAGTGCTTGCACTAGGGAAGCAGAAATGGTAGTGATAATCCTTTCTCTCCAGGAGTGCTGAGAGAATTCAATGCAAATGCTGGTGAAGGTGCTTTGCCCTGGGAATCACTCCAGGCCTTTATTCTTTCCACTGAACCTCAGTAAACCTAACTGAGTCCTGGGAAGGCACTGGGCCTGGGGCATGCAGACAATGAAGGCCTGGTCCTGCTTTCAAAGATCTCCCACCACCCAGAGACAGAGAGATGCAAACACACAGAGCCAGTGTGAGTTTCATAGGGAAGGAGGAATAGATAACCCAACTGAGAGCCATTTTGTCCCCTCCTGAAAAATTTGCAACCTGCCCGGCTAGCTGGCTCAGTGGTTGAGCATCAACCTCTGAACCAGGAGGTCACATAAAATTCTTGGATTTTCATGTGGGGCATGAAATTCTTGGATTTTCAGTGTGGGGCATGCAGGAGGCAGTCAATCAAGGACTCTCTCTCTCATCATTGATCATCGATGTTTCCAACTCTCCCTCTCAGAAATCAATATATATATATATATATATATATATATATATGAAATTTATATATATATGAAATTTATATATATATGAAATTTATATATATATGAAA